TATTTGTTGAATGCTACTCATCAAATTTGATATGTATAGATGGTGTATATCACTGCATGTATAGAGAGGAGAATTTTATTTAAGTCGTACATCTTGGTAAGTATTTGTACTTCAAAGTAGTGATCTTGGGAAACTTATTCCAAAATTGAAACACATCTATGGGATCGATCTTTGGGGCCAGTTTAAACGCCTTTAAGCTTCTGGTTCACAACATGCTTTGAGTATCTGATGAAAGCTATGCCTTCTTTCTCCAGGAAAATACACACACTTAGATAAAACACACAACTGTCACACACAAAAACATGCAAAAGTCAGTTCCATCATTTTAAACTTAAGTATTCTACCCTAAGTGTATACTATCCAGCTCAAGTACACGCTTAGGGTAGAATATAAAGAGTGAAAATACTGCATTAGGGTTCTTGTCTCCAAGCATTAGAAACATCAGCAACGGACTCTGGCTATCTTTAAAAACAAGCTTTACTAGACTGTTCTTGAAACTTACAAAATTGAAAGATGCCTTACAAATTGAAAGGACAGAAAAGACAGCTCCGACAAACTAGGAAGAGAAGCTTAAAGAACTACATCAGAGGACAGTGTTCTCTCAGGAACCGTGTGAGAGAAGAGTCCGCTGCACACACTGAAACCACTGATAGGTCTCCAAAAAACCCCACAGCCTGCTCTGCTCTCAAGAGCCAAAGTCCAGGGAGAAAATACCTGATTGGACAAGTCCAGGTCTGGTTACACCACAAAAGGGAAGGGGTAAAGTGCTTCAACAGAGCATCCTGGGCTACACACAAACAGGAATGCCCCAAGAGCAAGACAAACAGGGGGAAATCTTGGTGGAGAGTAAAACCAATAAACGTCTCCAACAGTCCAATCAAAATAACCATGGGAGAGGATGAGTTCTCTCTCTAGTACCTCTTTCCACTTCTGCTCTTCCATGGGCTCACTCTAAATTACACCAGGTCCTTTAAAATAATCAAATCCAACCTTAAATCACAAAGATTTACAACCAAGAAAGATATTTAGAAGTACATGACACCACTCTGACCATATACTCAGTTGGTTAGAGTTGTCTTAATATGCCAAGGTTGTGGGTTCGATCGCCAGTCAGGGCACATACAAGAATCAACCAATGAATGCATAAGTAAGTGGAACAACAAATTAATGTTTCTCTTTCTCCCTCTTTTCCTCCCTCTAATCAATAAATAAAATTTAAAAAAATAAAAGCACATGACACCAGTTACCTGAAGTAATTCTCAATGAGGCATTCTGCACTCTACTGGAGGCATCCATGGAAAAATCAAATACTGGATGGGGAACGGAAAACACCTGGCTCGTTTGCTGCCCCTCCCCCTCAGTCAGACACAAGAAAGATTACAGGAATAGTGCCAATTACGTGAAGCTGAGTTCAAGTTTAAGGCTATCTGCCATGCTTGCTGGGCCTCTTAAGATTTACATCAATACATACGTCACTGACGCTCCCCCAGACTGAGCACAGGAATCCCCACGTGTTTAGTAAAAACCAAAAAGGAAAACCATTGGTTTAAAAAAAACAAACCTGAAATGTGTACTTAAATTAAAAAAGAGTCTTTCACAAAGACTTTAGAGTCACCAATAATAAGTAATCTGAAGCCAGACTATCTGCTCATTGGAAAGCTGAGCCTTCTGTTCAGTAAAGAGGGGAGAAGGAGAACACTAGATTCAGGATATAAGCCAAAGTAACTTTTTAAATACTACAGATTAAAAATGTGTTAAAAGTTGGTAACAGTGAGAATGAGCGAATGACAACCTCGCACAATGGAAATGAATCTCACTATGCTGGACAAAAGCAAGACACAAATCAAAGTACAAAAATAAGCAAAATTATTCTATGCTGACTTCGAAAGCCAAGCTCACGGTGGCCTTTCACGACCAGGCAGCGATTGGAAGGGAAATCAAGTGGGAATGTGGGAGAGCTGGTCACATTCTGTTTCTTGACTCAGACGCTGGTTTAACAGTTTCTGAAAATTCACCATATTTATGATATTTACACTTTTCTGTAGGTTTATTATTCAACAAAAAATATATGTATTTCTTCAAAAAGCCTAACTCTCAGCTTTTTAAAAAGCAAAAGGTAGCCCTGGCCAGGTGGCTCAGTTGACTGGAGCGTCGTCCCATATACCAGAAGGTCAGGGTTTGATTCCCAGCCAGGGCACACACCTACATTACAGGTTTGATCCCCGGTCGGGACGCATGGGCGGGCGGGCAACCAATGGATGTTTCTCTCTCACATCAATGTTTCCCTTCCTCTTTTTTTCTCTCTCCCCCCTTTCTAAAATCGATAAACACATCCTCAGGTGAGGATTAAAAAGGAAAAAAATGTATAAGAAGTACACTGCTGTCACCATTTCACAATTTATTTTTATTTCAAATGAAGTTAGCTCACATATATAAAGCGTGTCCACCACTAATGACCCACCTTACCTTAAAATATAACTTTTAAATATCTTGAGTACCCAGTTATTACAAATGTGGATGCTAAGTTAAAATAATAAAAAAGTTAAAAGCAGTAAGTTTGCTGAACTATATAAAGGATGGGGCAAAAGCAGGATTACAGTTGTTCGTATGGAAATACATTAATAAATAATAATACAAGAATAAACTGTTTTGCATACTCACAACTGTATATCCACTCTTGCCCCACCATGTATTATGGCTAAAGTCTGGAACTTGTTTTTATCAAATTTAGTAAGTTAAAATTTAGTATTAGCAACCATAAATGCCTAGGCTCTAGGTAAGAGAGTAAGTAATTCCTACCCCCTAAAAAGACTGACACAAGGTGAAAACATGGGGGAAAACCTCCAAAGGAGAAATACAGAACGATGAGTTGGCAGGGCTGGCTATTAATATGTGAAGACGTGAGGACAGGAAAAAATATGTAGGTTAATACCTAAGTCTAAAGCAATGCAAAATTCCAATCCCATCCACTTCCACTTCAACTCCTTGGACCTGCCTGCAGCAGGGGGAAAAAACAAAAATTACCCATGGTGGTTGCTGAATCAGCAAGAAATGCTCAGAATTAGCTAGTGTCTGGACCTTGGCCATGACATGGCAAAGTATAAGGACTCCTGACATAAACAGGACACATGGTTTCAATTACTTGCCACCACAACACATTACAAGTGTCTAAATTTTCTAAGTACCATTAAGCTTCAACAAATTATTTAGATTATCTTCATGAAAACCTATCACAGGAAAGTAGTATGTTGATATACTTCAGCTTAAACATTAGAGTAACACATACTTTAAAAAAAACGAAAGTACTTATTTTTTCACCATAATTTCTCACTGAGTGACTCAGAAGTCCAGAAGCTAGTTTTGGTTTTAGTATTTTTAAGTTTAGTTTTAGACACAGGACCCTCACAGAAGTCTCAAACACTGTAAAACCAAAATATCCACTCAGAAATAAGGATGGATAACTCGGTTTCTTCACTTTTGTTTTTTCTTTTTCTAAAATGTTACTTTTGTCCCGAAGAAAAAAGATGTTTATTATAAGCTTAAAGAAAAACGTTTATTACCAAGATTCTATATTGTAAAGCCAAAAAAGGCAAGTTGAATACTTTCTAAAATCGCATTTCTAGGACACTAGATATTTAGTTTATTTTTCCAAAGAACAAAAAGAAATTCCATATACGGCCTAGGCCCACTTGTGCAGCCAGAGGAACATAACCTTTTTTCATGTGATCTCAGTAAAAACCTGAGCAAATGGAAAACCTAGATATTGCAAATGTTCTAGACAGTTCTATCAAGTAAACTTTAGTTCATTAGATTACTAAATATCCTGAGTCCACCTATATCAGATAAGTCCATATAACCTCACCTATATCTGATAAGTACGGATGAAGTAAGACTAAGTTGTTTCATAAAAATTTTAATTTGCCCAACTTTATAGAATTGACAAAACGTTCTTACAATCAAAACAGGTACACCTGAAATGAATATAATTTTGTATGACAACTATAATTTTAAAATAAATATTAAAAAAGAAAAATAACTTAGATATTTTTGTATCTGACTCTCAAATTGTCTGGTTTCCATGCTGAGAGAAAACAAGCTTCTGCAACCACCTTGCCAAATACGATTTAGACTAACCATCTCTCCCACAGCCTGCAAGTCTCTAAAAGTAACGATTCTTGTACATAGGTAGGTGGTAAAGCAATTACTGCAAAATATTAATGACAGAACAGAATACAAAAGGTGTACACTGTAGCATTTTTTTCACCTTCTCCACGTGTGAAAATTCTTATATTTGGGTGAAAATCATCTTCCAAAGTCAGAAGACAAAGAAATACCTATGGCAACTTAAACCTACCTAAGGCTCTGAAGCCTTTCATGAAATCACAAACCTACCATTTCAAGCACCCCACGAAAAAGGCTTGCTCAAGACGGCAATACTTTCTGGAGAATAGTCGACTGACAAAATGTAAAAGTGATACCATAAACTATGTGTCACCCAAAGTTTAGCTAGAAAGTCATTTTCCAGTAGGTGTCATCAGGATTTTGTTGGACTTTCAACTGTTATCAGTGAAACAACCCTGCCTCCATTACCATCTCACCGACATTTTTTAGAAATTCCAAACAGTACACCTTAAGCTTTTTAAAAATCTCCCAGAAAGCAGATCCGTGGAGCCCTCCCGGGTCCTAAAACCTGCAAAACCCAGGAGTCCGGGGCGCTGGTGGTTCCAGGTGCTTCGCTCTACCCGGCAGTCCAGGTGGGGATGGTTCCCTGGGGTCTGCGCGGGCTAGTAACCACGCGCAGAGGGGCGAGAAGGAAATGCAGGGAGCCCAAATGAACGGATGGGAGAGGACGGAGGGAAAATCCGAGCCGTCTGTGCGGGGAAGACCTGGAAGCACCAGGCCAGCCGGGCGCTCCCGGGAGCGGGGCTCGGGAGCTCGGAAGGCAGACGCCCGAGACGCCCGGGCCCCGCGCCGGCCGGCCGCCCCCGCCCTGCCCGCACCTCTCGGTCCTTGAGGCCCAGCAGGAGCACCTCCTCCATCAGTGTCAGCCGCGTTTCCTTGGAGTCGCCCTTGTCGTCGTCGTCCTGTTCGTCGCGGCGGGTCTGCGCGTCGTCCTCGCCGCTGCCGCCGCCGCCGCCCGCCGCTCGCTCCTTGTCGGCGGCGTTGCGGGAGGCCTCGGTGCGCCGCTGCACCAGGCCCGAGCTGCGCTGGGTCAGCGAGGTCATGGCTCCGGCCGAGGCCGCCGCGCCGGGCCGACAGGGACGCGGGACCTACCGGCCTTCCCCCCTCCTCCTCCTTCTCCCGCGGCCCCCGCCCCGGGCTTCCGTGTTAAATCCGGATGCTGTGGCGACGTCCGTCGGCAGCCAGGCCGGGGGCACTCATGGGGAGATGGGTCAGGGCGAAGCGGGCTGGCGGGCTGACGGCGCGGCGCGACGGGAGCTGCTTTCTTCCTGCAGCCCCAGCCCCGGAGACGGCCCGAGCTCCCAGGCGGCGGCGGCGGCGGCGGCGGCAGCGGCGCCTTCCCAATATGGCGGCGCCAGCTGACGTCACCGGAGGATGTGGCACCGCCGGCACAGGGCTGGCCCAGAGGGCGCCGGAAGCGGCGGGCGGGGACCCGCCGACCGCGACCCGCTCTGGAGCCCTGGGGTCTCCGCTGGCCCTCGCCCTTAACCTCAGCGTCCCTTCGCCGCGCGGTCCACTGTCCCCCTTCCATGTCATGCCGTCCCTCCGTCCGCCTCCCACTTCGCTTGTCAAGAAACCAGGACTGGAGCCACAAATTCGGGGACGTGGCCCCGAGAGGGTGCTCTCCGCTCAGCCTCCAGCTGTGCCCTTAGCTCCCCGGACACCACCATCCTCGGACTTGGCCGCGGCCGGCGTGGCAGGGCCCCGGCTTGGAGTCCGGCGGTCTCCGTGAGACACAGAAAGGACTTGGGTGCAGATGAGGTCGAGGAGAGGGCGCGCTCTGCCCGCACGACCTGACCCTTCCGAAGCAGCAACCGCCTTGAAACGGCTTGAAAGTAGACTTGTGTTTTCTAGGTGTACTACTGTATGAAAGAGGTTAGAACAAATTGAGTAGTTTTGTTTGTAAAACTTTTCCACTTACCTCCCGGCTTGTACAGTGACCACCAGGGCCCGCAGTGAGGACAGTTAGTGCTGCCCACAGCGGTACACTCGCCCTTAAGGAACTTGATGGAGAGACAATAAACCTCTTCGGGTTTCATGCCATGTCTTTGTGGACATTAAATCTCCCTCAATTTAATTACTAGGTTACATCGTCTTGGCTTGCTTGACAGGTTTATACAAGTTACATTAAAGAACAAATATCAAACCCGAGAGGGGTTTTGGAAGGCCAGAAGGGTGGAGCTTGTAAGTAAAACATGACCTATTAAGGATGGCATTGTATGCCATCTAATATTCTTCAAAATCAACAATGACCACAAGCTGTGGCAGCAGAATGGCTGAGATAGAGACATATTGTTGTAACGGGACATAATAAATTATAAACGCCTGTCCCATACAGCGTTCTAGCTGCAGAGCTCTTCCTCCTCCACAAAACCGTCGTCCGGAACTGGTCACACAGTGTCCCCACCCCAGCCCTGGCAGGGGAGGACGCTAAATCACCTGGGGGGTGGGGGGAGGCGGGGCGAGCGCAGAGTAGACGTTTTTATATCCCTATTATTCTGAGCAAAGGTCAACTTCACCTCAAACAACTTCTCTTACTCACATCCTGTTTAGCTTTTCCTCTCCCAGTTCTTTCCCAAAGAGCTTAAATATATTTCCTTTTAAAAGAAATGGAATTAACTTCGTGTTTGAGTAATAGAGTCAAATACATAGTTGAAGGAGTATAAACATGGACGTAGGGAGAATCTTCCTTCCAGACCTGCCTCTATTCACCCAGTTGCTCCCCCTTTCCCCTGCCTTGGTGGTTTTAAAACACAGGTCAACAAATTCTCTGATACTCCTGCTCTCAAAAGGTGGAGCCTAACTCCCCTCTTCCGACTTAGTGGCTCTCTCCTAATGAATAGAACGTGGCCAGTGTGACTGTGTGTAACTTCTTCGATTAGGTCATAAAAGTCTTCACTGCTTCTACATTCTCCCTCTCTCCATCTCTCCCTCTCCATCTCTCTCTCTCTCTCTCTCTCTCTCTCTCTCTCTCTCATCATTCACTCGGAGGAAGGCCAGCAGCCGTATCATGAAGACCGGCAAGCAGCCTATGGCGAGGTCCAGCTGTGAGTCAGCCGTCTAGGAAGTAGATCCCCCAGCCCGTCAAGCCATTAGTTGACATCCTGATTGCAGCCTCAGGAAAGGTTCTGAGTCAGTCCCACCCAGCTAAGCTGTTCCTGCATTTCTGAGCTACAAAAACGGTGAGATAATAAACACTTGTCTTAGGCTGATAAATTTGGGGTCATGTTTTAAAGAGTAAGAGTACTAAAATTACATGGGCATATATATGAGGTCAGTCCAGAAAGTATCCAGCCATGTACTGTGAAAAATAGGGACATTTCTTGAAGAAGATAAAAGAAACATATATAGGACAATGACGCCTCAGTCCCCTTCAGAGTAGGTACCTTGGGACCTCACACAGTTCTCCCAATTGCCATCAGCTGCCCTGTCATATTTTCCTGAATCTCATCCACAGTCTGAAATTTCTTCCCTTTCAAAGGTGATTTTAATTTTGGGGAAAGCCAGATGTTGCAGGGCACCAAATCTGGGCTGTAGGGGGCTGAGTCACCTGGCCGATTTGATGTTTCACCAAAACGCATTGTGGTAATGAAGCTGCCAATCACCAGTGGACCATAGCTGCGGTCTTCTGAAGCATCCAAATAGTTTCGGCAGAGGAATGTTCAAGCTTAATGCAAAATTTGATGCAGATTCGTTGCTCTACTCTCTCAGTCATTTTGACTATGATGGCCACACAGTACACATGCTCACTCAATGGCATCTACTGCCGCCACTGACTAATACAGTGAAGTTGTCACCGTTCATGCATGTGCATTCCAGTCCACTCTCCTTGGCTGCCAAGTTACACTGCTGTCGTGCAAACCGTTCTCATTATATTAACAATGGTCCAACTTTTTCCAGGCAGACCTCATACACACAAATAGTTAACAACTAATATTACTTTCTTATATATCCTTCCAGAGTTTTTGAAATGTGTATTCAAACAAATATGAAAATAAGTTTTTTCCCTTTTCATGCAACTACGAGCACGTTATCCACATTGTTTTTTTTTCTGCTTAATTGATGTTGGAGGCCTGTCTATATCAATACTTAAGAACTTCATGCTTTGTTTCAGCTGCATCACATTCTACTGTGTAAATATAGCATGGGGTTTTTTTTTAGACAATCTATTGATAGGCATTAAGTCGTTTCTAACGTTAGCTATTACAAACAATGCTATAATGAATGTAATTACTCTGGGTGATGTGGGGGGTGGAGGGATCGAGCAAAAAAGAAAAAGGACTCATGGACATGAACACTTGTGGTCGTGGCAGGGAAAAGGCTGGGTGGAGGTGGAAGAAGGTGTGGGGGGACAAATGGTAATAGGGAAAATACTATAAAAAATGAACGGTTAAAAAAATCTAAAGGAAAAAGTAAATATAATGAATAGCCACATATTTTGTCTATAAAAATATGCACCACACTCTTCAAATTATTGAGTCTTTACATAACTTTCTCTTTTTCCTTTCTTCAGTTTTCCTAGCATTTTTTTTCCTTGCTTATTTTCCATAAGGTTAGCTTTCAAAATCACCTTGTCTAGCTAGAAAGAAGGGGGGAAAAAGGGAGGAAGTGAAAGCAAAGGACATGATATTTGGGGAACCAAAATATAGATCCCTAATAACAAGGAGCATTTATTTGTCACCTGCTGAGTGTGTGCCAGGCATGTTCCCCAGAAGCCCCCACCGGAGCCCTCAGGTCAGGTGCCCATGCTGCACTGCAGTTCTGCGGGGACTCATAAAGTAGCGCAGCCTGCCAGCACCTCACCGCTGCCCAGGCGGGGCCACCTGGAAGTGTGCAGGAGTCCGCGCTTCAAGCTGGTAGATGAACGTTCCCTTCTCCCCCACAATGGATTGCGGAGGTCCTTCCTGCAACTCCTCGGTGGCGCTTAGCTCCAGCAAGCTCAGCCACGCACTCTTGATATGGCTCTCCCTCCTTCACCCTTCAGCCTCCCCTCCTTGCTCCTGTTTCCAGGAGCCGCACACCCTAACAAAATAGTAGCACAAAAGCCTTTGTCTTAGGTCCTGCTTTCTGGGAATCCCAGACTAAGACACCCCTTTGGCTTGTGAAGAGACTGAAGTTCAGAGAAGTTAAATAATCTGCCCAACATAACACCCGGCAAAGTGCAAAGCCTGCACTAGAACCCAGGTCCTTAATTAAGAACAAACACAGGGGTGGGAAAAATTAGGTTTATTGATGATAATAAAGAACTCTGTGTCAAAGGGTGAGCAGAGCAAGTAGACTAGACAAATGTATTAATAGGATCAGCACTTTGAGCACTGATGAGGTTGTATTGTATCTCAGTGCAATATGCCACTGTGACTTTTTCTGAGTTAATAAAACTGTTGTGATAATCATAACCCAAATGTATCTTTCCATACAAACAACTATAAACCCACATTTGCCTACCCCGTATATGTATATATGCATATTTGCTGTATGCCAGGCACTGTGCTAAGCAATGAGGCTATCACAGTAAGCCAAAGAGACACGGTCATAGCTATCATGAGGCTGTTTAATGAGGGGCACAGATATTAAGTAAATCATCACAATAATTAATGTATAAATTGAGAAATGCTTTTAATACATTTAAATACAGAAGGAATACAATATTATCGGAGCATGTATTTTCATATATATGAGAGACTTATATTTTCTGGAACTCAAGGAAAACAACTCTGAGGAAGCAGTAAGCCCAAAAATGAACATTAGTTAACTAAATCGAATTGGGGTTGGTCATTCCTGAAAGGAAATAGCATGTACAAAGGCCCTGTGGTAAAGACAGATCATAGGATGATGTAGAATCAAATAGAAGACCATTTGGCTGGGCAGAGGGGGAGGGTTTGTCAAAAGCAATAGTGACAAGCATCAAATCATGCAGTGCTATAAGGCCATTTTAAGATCTTGGCCTTTTTCCAACTAAACACAATTAAAGGTCATGGAAGGTACTTTCAAATACCCATGTGGGCAAAAATGGAATGGGTAGGTGGGTAATGTTATCAGACTTGCACTTTGAAAAGCTCAGCAAGCACATCAAGGAAGTGGTCACAATGGATACAAGGGCCAGTTAATTTCCACAGTAGTCCCTCAGAACCACATGGTAACTTACCTTTGATCATGGAAGAAGAGAAAATGAGAAACTCATGTTTTCAAGAGATACTTTGGAAGTAAAATTTACAAATTTTTTTTTTAAACCTTCCACTGAGGAAGGACTCAGTGGAAGATTGATTATGGAGTGGGTAGGGTACAAGGGAGACAGGTTTTCAAGGACTACTCCATGCCTC